TGTGTGTGTGTGTGTGTGTGTGTGTGTGTGTGTGTGTGTGTGTGTGTACATGTGCGCGCGTGTCACGTGCCCAAGATGCAGGTGACGTGTCAGTCACGTGTTCAAAGATTTACTTCAACGGAAATTAAATCTTTGTCAAATTAAACAGTCACATTTTTAGAACTGTCCCGTTTCCCTGATGCAGTGAACGCGCGATGACGTCATTGATCAGGAGCCTTTGATTGGCTGAGGAGTCAGATAAACTTGACAGATCATCGTTGTTTTTTGTTGACGGTCGTTAATCTGTCTCAACAACCAGGCTGCGTGAGACAGGAGGAGGCGGGTTACGTAATGACCTCAGGCCCAACAGCAGCCAATCAGAGCGCGCGCAGCTCTGTGAAAACAAAGCGCACATGGCTCGGTTCGCGGCTGCATGTGAAGCCGCAGCAGCAGAACAAGTGGGCCGTCCACCTGAACCGAGCGACCCGCTGTCGTCCTGACCCAGTTCCCTGAAACACTACCGGAATCACGGTGACGGGCCGCGTGACGGGCTGACAGACATGTGCGCGAGCTGGGAGAACCGGGCTGCTTATTGGTACCGATACCGAACCAGAAAAAAACAAAACAACTTTACACTAAGCACGTTCTGTGGGACCAGGCTGGTTCGGTCCTATGAGCAGAACTGGGCTTTTGGTGTTTTTTCAGCAACGTATGAGCGACAAACGTGCCTGACGCGCCGCGCTCCTCCCGCTAAACTCAATATAAAATGTCTGTTTTAAAAAAAAACTGCAGCTAAAACTCGACAGCAGACAAGCTGTCGGGTCTCCTCAGAACTTCACATCGAAAGTCACTCTCAAATTGAGAATTCGGCGCTTTAAGAAACCAGTTTGGACCTGCGGTGCGTGAGCAGGAACTCTGATTGTGAATGAAGCATTTGAGAAGTTGCGTTTACCTGAGCTGTTGTTGTTGTTTGTGTCCATTGCGTAGGTCGGCACCGCGAACTGGCGTAGAGTCACATATGCGCGCGCTTGTTAAAGTGTGGCACGGTTTCCGCCCGGTTAATTCCTCGGAGAAAACAGGCGGAAGGACTCAGGTTCTGTTTTTGCCGCCGCGTGTCGGTAACGACTGCAGGACGCGCTTCAATACGCCGGGCAGCTGGAGCCGCACGCGGCAGAAAACGGGACCACGTGACCACTAGGACAGCCTCGTGCCCCAGTGACACACTTTCCCGCCCCTCCTCGTGCAGTTGGGCACGTGGGACCATAGCGGCTTTGTTTCAAGCGCATTCTGGGAATTGTAGTCCGGTCGGCAGCATTAAACAAAAACTGAAAGAAAATTAGCAGAAAGAAAGGAATAAAGAAAACAAAGGAAGTTATAACAACTAGTGAGAGTGGCCGTTCTGTTTTACATTTAGGATGGGATAGACTTGGAGACAGCAACTCGAAAGTACAATATTGACCAGTTGTTCTAGGAATATGAAAATTTAAATAATTAGGTGGAGTGGATTCATTTATACTAACAAAATATTCCTGTTGTAGCCAAGTTTCTGTCAGACAGAATAAATCAGTGTGATGATCAGTTATCAGGTCATTGACTACAGGGATTTAGAGGAAAGAGATCTGATGTTCAATAGTCCACATTTAATGATTTTATTATGGTAAAGTAATTTTGTTTATTTTAATAAGATTATTTTGCTCTATGTTTTTAAATATTATTTTTTGTTTATTTAATGAAGTAAATGTTAATCAAATAAATGTTAATCAAATAAGATGTAATTTTCAACTACTCGGAGAACCTTTTAAGGCTGGAAATGATTAGAAAGAACTCAGATCAAAAGCATGGTCAGGGGATCATAGTTTTGTTTGTGCTCAGAAACTTTATCTGGTCCTGGGACCCCTCAGCACTATTTTCAGGCCCTCGGGCTGCTTTAGTACTTTTTTTGTACAATCCCAGGATACCTTAGCTCTTTGTCCTAAACCAGGGCCCCTCAGTATCTTTTTTGGCCCACAGTCATCTAATCATTTTACCCAGACAGGGGCCCCTTCATTCCATTTATATGGTCCCCATGGACCTTCAGCATCTGTATTTGGCCCTGGGGTTTCTCAGGATTTTTATACACCTTTAGGGCCTCATAGCATCTTTAAGTGGCCTTGGGGATCTTCAATATCTTTATGGGTCCCTCATAGGACCTTTACCTGGATGAACCCCCTCAGTACCTTTGTTAAGGGTTTTCTCTAGTAGATTTTCACAGCTCTCTTCTCGTGAGGATGGATAATAAGCAAGACCACTCGGAGATCCTTTTAGGCGGTTGTCACCATCTTTATTGTTGCTTTCACTTCAGCTCCGCTCCAGCGTCTTTACACCAACGTCTCCGCTTCAACAACTGCTCATATTCAAGTTAACTCACAGTACACATTACGGAAACAGGAAACACACATGTTCTTACCAAAATAAAAGTATAAGAGCGTTATCTAAAAACACTCCCTACTCTCCTACTCCGCTCCTGTTTCCTGGAATATCTTGCAAAAAGATCAGAAGCTCTCGACCTTGACCTCTCTAAGTGGCTTTGTTCTAGAATTGCGCCGCTCAAGGTGGCTGCATGTTGGTGGAGCAGCTCTGTTACATTCGTTCTGATTTACTGCTTTTGAAAACTTTAATTCCTCTTTTTTCTGGATGTATATCACTTTTTTACGATGATTATTTCCTCTGGTATCGGATGCTGTGCAGCTGGAATGATTTTTACTGAAACTTTTTTACTTTTGGACATTTGTTATGATGCGTAACCATGGCGACAAGGTGTTTTTTTTTTTTAACAACTAGGAGCAGCTGATTAACATCTCAAAAGCTCAACTATCTCATCTACAGCCCCAAATCCTACACGAGTTGAAAAGGAGGTGCCGTGGACAAATTCCCGTCAACCTGGCGGCGGTGTTCGAGTACCTCAACACCGAGATCCTGGAGCTTGTGAGAAACTCGGCTTGTGAGGAACTCTGCAGACTTCTAGGAGGAGTGACCATCACTCAGGGAGGAATTCTGTCTGGCATTCAGGCAATCCTGCTGCCCAGGAGGACCGAGAGGCCCGCCGGACCTGACAGCAAGATGGATCTGGGTGGACGGATCGTTATCTGTGGCCAGATTCTTCGGCTTCACTGCAGGAGATCCTTCCTGCCCACAGCTATCAGCATCTATAACAACTCTTGAATGAAACCAGGATGATGAGCTACGACAACACTTAAATTCCCTCTGGGATTAATAAAGTATTTTTGAATTTTGAATTTGAATTGAATTTAAACATCTGTTAAGTTCATGGCAAAAAACAATGCAGAGATGTCCCTGTTTTAGTTTTTTACACTGCTTTATAATATAGCAGTTTTGTTTTTTTTTTGTTTTGCTACTTATTCCTTTTGATTGTCCTTTTGGTTGCCATTTTATTTTAATTTGTAAAAATAAATAAATAAATTTGTATACCTCTTTTATGATTGTCTATTGTTGGCATTGTTGTCCACTGTTGTCATCACTCTTTGTTAAAGAAATGAGGTATCTCTTGTAAATGAGTCCCTGAGGTTCAATGGGATTAACATGCTGCTGTCCATCCTCCTGAAAAAAAACAAACCTTGACCCCTCAGTCGTTTCCAACATCCGGCCTGTCTCCAAACTCCCATTTGTTTCTAAAATACTGGAGAAAACAGTTGAGTCCCAGTTGAAGTGCTTCCTGGAGGATCACACCATCTTAGAGCTATTCCAATCTGTCTTTAAACCTCTCCACAGCACTGAAACTGCCCTATTGAAGGTTTTTAATGACATCTTCAGATCCATAGATACCGGTGATTCTGTACTGCTTGTCCTATTGGACCTCACAGCTGCCTTTGACACCATCGACCATGAGATCCTCATTGCTAGGTTGGAGTAGTGGGTGGGCATCACAGGGTCAGCCCTCAACTGGTTCAGATCCTACCTCACTGACAGATCCTTTTTAGTGTCTCCATCAAGGATTTTAGTTCTGCAGCGACAGAGCTTAAATGGGGGGTTCCGCAGGGGTACATCCTGGGTCCCCTCCTATTATTTCTATACCTGCTGCCACTTGGTGCTATTTTCTGGAAACACAACATACCGTTTCACTTCTACGCCGACGACTGTCAAATTGACTTCCCCCTAAGACACAATGGTACATGCTCTATTCAACCTCTGCTCGACTGCCTGGCTGACATAAGGGACGGGATGGCTTTAAACTTCTTAAGTTTAAATGAAAAGAAGTCTGAAGTCATGTTCTTCCCTCCCAATGATGCAATCACAAACCACTGCATCAACCTTTCCACTCTAACCCTGTCAGAAAAACAAAGAGTCACTAATCTGGGAGTGATAATGGACCCTTCCCTGAAACTTAACATGATTGTTAAATCATGTTTCTTCCAACTGAGGCGGCTGTCTAAACTGAAGTCCACATTGTCCAAAAATAACCTGGAGACAGTAATACACACATTCATTACATCTAGGCTTGATTACTGCAATTCACTCCTGTTTGGTATCAGTCAGACCTCCATTGCATGACTACAACTGGTCCAGAATGCAGCAGCCCGATTTTTCACCAGTACAGGCAAAAGAGAGCACATTACACCAGTTTTGGCCTCACTGCACTGGTTACCGGTTCACTTTCGAATCCAGTTCAAAATACTCCTGTATGTCTACAAATCGCTGAACAGTTTCGCACACACCCCCATCTCTCTGATCTGCTACAAACGTATGTCCCACCACGTTCCCTGAGGTCAGCGGACCAATTGCTCCTCACAGTTTCAGGAACTGGTCTTAAGCGCAGAGGTGACAGGGCCTTCTCTGTAGCAGGACCAAGACTTTGGAACGAGTTACTTCTGCTTGTCAGACAGGCCCCCTCCCTCTCGGTCTTCAAATCCCGTTTAAAAACTCACTACTATTCAGTAGCTTTCAACACCAGAGGATCTGTGTTTTGAACCTATATGCTCCACACTGGTTTGTCATCATATTTATTATCTGCATCGTTTTTATGTCTATATTTTTGATTTACTTCATTTTGTATATTGCTTCGTGTGTTGTCTGTTGTCCTGTCTGTACAGCACTTTGGTTGGCCTTGTAGCTGTTTTAAGTGCTCTATAAATAAAATGGTATTGTATGGTAACCTGTATAAATAAAGATTTAA